ATAGCAGCTGGCCTACCATACAACATCGGCAACGCCGTACAAAGAGTCGGCATGCTGCGGAGGAAGCTGCGAAAGGTCGCGCCCAATATTGAGGAGGGCCCAAAGCGGATGCAATGGTATGTTCCCGACATCGCACCCTGGAGCCGCCCGCTGACTCAGCCAATACAGGATGTCCAAGGTGTGCGAACAATACTCGCTCGACGACCTCTGCGCCATGACCGAGGAGGACATGGAGATGCTCCTCGGTTTCTACAGACCCGGAACCGTGCCGACGCTCGAAGAAGTACGGCTGCAGGAAGCTGACGGAGCGTACGACGGGCCTTTCTTGATCTGATTGCATATGGAACCGGCGTTGGGTAGACAGCATACAGTAGGTATGAGCGGGAGTTGCGGCGACGCTATCAAATTCTTGTATATCAATTGTACACTCTCCTACGCTCTCACCTACCTCCCAGAAGTTTCCATTGCCTCGGGATCTCGTAAACTTTGCTTTCTATACTAATGCAGGCGGCAGCGCACCTGTTGAGCTTCCAGCTGGTCTCAAGTGTCCGGTGGATCCTTCCTCGTCCCATCTCCTCCGGTCCTGTCAGCCAATCAGGATGAGTTGGCCCAAGCGTCAACTTCCCGGCACTTGCCTGTTGATAGCCCTCACCACATCGTGCAGACCACACCACAGCAACGCTACGAATTCTACCCTGAATCGCTCACATGTCGGCGTCAGAGAACCAGATGGATCTTGCGCAGCGACCACCTTACGACACCGTCGATTTCAAGGCCCTCACCAAGAGCGACAAGGAATTCAAACAACTATGGCAGCGAACGTCTGGCAAATTGGATTTTCAAGACCCCGAGACTGCCCAGACCCTATCAAAGGCTATCTTGAAAGTCGACTTTGGCCTCCAACTAGATGTGCCATGTGATCGCCTGTGCCCGCCAATTCCCAATCGCTGGAACTACGTAGCCTGGCTGCAAGGCCTGATTGACTCGACATCACCACACTATTCTAGCAAGTACGATCCAAACCGTCAAGTTCAAGGCCTGGACATTGGTACCGGGGCTTCCGCCATATACACTTTGTTGTGTCTGAGATCACGTCCGAGTTGGTCAATGTGCGCCACGGATATCGACAAGAAGAGCTTCGACTCAGCAGCTCGCAACCTCGCGCTCAACAACTTCATGACACGTACCAAGCTACTCCAAACCACCGAGTTGAACCCAGTGATACCACTCGCAGCCCTTGGTGTAGACCGTCTTGACTTCACCATCTGCAACCCACCCTTCTTCACCGACGTGTCCGACATGCAGTCTAGCTTGAAGGGTGAAGGAAAGAGCTGGAAACCCAACGCCGTATGTACTGGCTCAGAAAACGAAATGGTCTGTCTCGGTGGCGATCTAGGCTTCGTCACGAAGATGATCAATGAGAGTCTTGTTTTGAAGGACAAGGTACAGTGGTATACCAGCATGTTGGGCAAGATGGACAGCGCCAAGGCTATCATCAATCTTCTGAAGAAGCACGGCATCACCAATTGGGCGGTTGGTACTATAGAGGTTGGATCAAGCACCAAGCGATGGATCGTTGCGTGGAGCTTCGGCGACCTCAGACCAAGAAACAGCCACGCGCGTATAGAGCGAATGGCCAACGAGTACCTCCCGTTCCCAACATCGTATCCCATCGCCCTGCCACCTGCAGTCGAACCTCAGGCTGCCAAAGATGCTATCAACACCCAACTCGAATCGCTTGACCTAACCTGGACCTGGGATCCTCTTGCATCTACCGGTATCGGCGAAGCTAGTCAAAACGTATGGAGTCGCTCCTATCGCCGCGCATACGAACGCAAACAGAAGGAAGGACTCGTCGATATGAAGGAGGATTCCGCACGAAAGGGTGAGCTAGCCTTTCGTATTCGTGTTGTAGACCTGGCGCGGGAAGTCGTTGTTGAGTGGCTGAGAGGCACGGACCAAGTGTTGTGGGAGAGTTTGTGCGGCTTGATACACCGTCACTTCAAGAAGTCCTGAGCGCCGGGGGATACTTCTGCTGTATAAACTATTGAATCTTCACAGATGAGTAGGTTCCGATTTGATGTAGCTTTAAGCATACCTTTTTAGAAAACGACACAGATTGTAGCGTTGCAGTTAGGAAACCCTTGTCTGACTGCTGTTGTGGAATCGCATCAGCATATGTCAGCTTATCCTTGGCGTCACGGTGCTTCCTACCACTCTGGAACCTTTCTACTCAAACCATCCAACAGTATTTGGGTTACGTACCATAACGCCCGGTCATGCGGTGTCATACGCCTCCAACACGCATACTACGCCTTTTCGAAACCCGTGCCTCAATATCAGCACATTTTGCCGGCGTAAGGAACGCCCTTTTCAACTCCCCATCGTTCAGCCTTTATCATCTTGAAGATCTTCTTTCTTTCCTCATTTCCACACTGCTCATTATCCCTTATCCATTGAACCACCATCCGAAAGCCTCCTGCGCGATCAAGACCAATCAGCGAAAATGCACTTCCCCGTCGTAACCCTACTTCTCACTGCCCTCACACTCATTGCGACAAGTTCCGCGGCCGTCATAGTGGAGTGTGGAGCTGTCGCTCCTATGAGCACTTGTTTACAATCATGCCCTGGGAAGTGCGTTCAGGCGAGCAGTTATGTGTGGTGCAAATGTCCCTGGGCCCAGGGAGGAGGTGGAGGTGGAAGTGCGTAAGTGGTATGTCAATCTCTGATCTGAATGAAAGTAACACATTGTCTGATGAGCATGCAGGTTGAATCAAAGAAATTGGATTGCGGTGAGGAGGAAGACAGTGGCGGGAGTTGGACTTGCCAAGGGATGGAAATGTCAGGTTTCCTAATCAAGCCTAAAAGATGTTGGAAGCAGAAGGAATGTGTTTCCCGCTGGTATGACAAAGGAATTCGTCGCTGCATGTGTGTTAAGATGACAACCCAATGCATACATGTGTCATGGAAATACATCCCTTGCATCACTCACCCTTTCACCTCTCTCCATCTTAATATCCTCCCTCATCAATCTCCTAGCTCACCTCATTAAACCTGAGCACACTAAAAGATAAATACTGCCTCAGTCCACTCAGCTCCCGTTACCTTGCAGTACAGCCTTTCCATTCTTACATCTACACTACCAACAATGCATCTACAACACCTCTTCATCATCATGCTCCCAACCATCGCCACCGCTATCGCTCTACCTCAGAGCGGCGGAATACATGCAGGTGGTGCATGCGGCGAAGTTGCCCTCACCGGTTACTGCCATGCAAACTGTGTGCACGGCCGCTGCGTTGCTTCCGGTACGACTCTGAACTCGGGGTTGTCGATCTGTGTCTGTCGATAAGAGGCTTTCCAGCAGGACATGAAATGATACGAATGAGGAAGGGTAGTAAGTCTTCCGATCTTTCGGGCGCATCGGTCGCTAATGTTGTAAACATAAGGTGATAGGCCGGCGATGCGAATAAAACGGCGAGACGGCCTCAGCGTACGTTAGAAGCAGGGTATAGCAAGAGCGATCTTCAGCTTCCGGGAGCCACAGCTTATGGAAGTATGCTGATGGCGTGATATGTGAGCGGCAGCGGGCAAAACAACGAGACACGGCAGCGTGGTCAGATAGTCAAAAACTATGACGTGAGACGTTTAACAAGGCCCCGACTCTAGCAATCCCTTAATTGCACCTTCATAAAGAACTCTCTTTCCACTATTCAACTCCCAAGCCAGCTGCACAGGAAGACGAACGACCACTCTTGACCATCAAAATCAACCACCAAAACCATTATGCATCTCCAACCCATCCTCTTCGCCCTCTTTACTCTTTCCTTCGGTTTCGTAGCCGCCTCTCCTACCCCCGCAGACGTAAAGTGCGGTTCCTTAGTCTCAACATCTGCATGCCGAGCTAGCTGTCCTGGGACATGTGTGCAGAAGGGCGAGATGGCGAATACGGTCATGACATGCAAATGTTAGGATACCGATAACGGCGAAAGAATGACAGAAGCGGAAAGAGGTAAATGTGAAGCAAATAGACTAAAGAGAGGTGTTGCTAACGAAGAATAGTGTGGAGCGAGATTGGATGACTGGAGGAGGTGGAGAAAGCGAAAGACTGGTTGCGCGTTATTGGGACCACACTCAGACAATATGATGTCAAATCAAGTCGTACTAGCAAGTTACCGCATCTATCGTCTTACATTCAAGTAAGCTGTGGGACGATCTGGGTATATGCTGTATGTGTTACGGCATCAGCAGTCGTCAGCTGAGGAAGTTCCTTGTTTCAGTTGAGCGTTAATGCAGAACACTCATCCTTTGAAGAGTCTAACTTCAGATCTCTATAACATCGGATGATTCTCTTTCATCACCGCGCACTACCTCCGCTCATCGTACGCTGAGCTCTTACTTCCATCATACCTTGACTTTCATTTCACCAACATGTATCTCCCGACCACCCTCCTGACCGCTCTTACCCTCTTTGTGGGAGCAAATGCTCTCGCTCTCCCATGCGACTCAGGCAACAGAGCTATCTGCAATCAAAGCATCGCTCTTGCAACTTGCGTAGCTCAGTGTCCTGGGCGGTGTATTGTGGGCAGTTTACCGACGATTGCGACATGCAAATGTGCGCCCATCTGCTGAGGTGTTTGTAGAAGCAGTATAGGAAGAATGAAGGGTGAGTTGGTTTGCTGAAGGAGGAAGGGAATCTGGAGATGCTGACTGCTCGTAGGGATAAGAGGCAGAGACGAATGATATAAGGCCAAGAGACAGGAAGCTGGTCCTGGTGATGACGGGTATCATCGAAACAAGTAGATGCAATTGATGGAGTGGCACTAGGAGAGCCGTAGCATGTCTTGGTAAAACCATCGCATTCCCCGACTTCATTTAGTAGACGTACCTACGATATCGGAACGGTCAGAAGCTTAGGAGCCCACCTCATCAGCGACGCTGAGGCACACGTGAAATCCCACATACCACCATTCCACTCACTCAGCACATCCCCATCTCCTCTAGACTATCGGTCCGTCCCAGAACATACTCTTATCCATCTCCTCCGCCATACCCTTCGCCATGGGCGGGCAATCATAATCCGGCTTCCTACCCGCACACAGTCCCTCCAGCATCCCATCATCTCTACCACCACGTCCTGCACCACCAGCCCTACCACCCCTAGCCGCGCCACGACCGCCCCTATCACCACCTCTGCCCGCATAGCCACCTCCAAAGCCTCCCCTACCGCCGCCGTTCATACCACCCGCACCCTGCCCTGCAGCAGCCCTATTCTCGCGATGCAACTGTCCGCCATGCAGATCTCCCTTGAGCTCTTCACGCTCGTTGACTTCTTCAGTGGTGTATTGGAATGTGTTCCAGGCGTGGACTTGGCTTTCTAGACCGCGGGGTGCTCGACCGGCGCGCGCGAGGACGGGACCTTGGGCGTGGAGGGCGAAGTCGCGGTCGCCGACTGCGGCGGTGTCTTGGTCGAAGCGCGTGATGCCTAGATCGAAGAGCTCGACGGAGTTGTGGTAGAAGGTGGCTTCTTTGGGGGTGTTGTTGCCATTGGCGTGGCCGTTGGTGTTGCCATTGCCGACCGTCGCGTTGTTGCTGTCGGACATCTTGGGCTGGAGAATGTGGACGTTTTTCTCAGGCTGTGGGCTTTCAGGTGTGGCTGTTGTCGTAGAAGTCGGTGTACTTGTGACGGCGGAGATGATATCTGGGCTTTTTCTGTGGTGTCAGTGCTTTACCCGCGGTGAAGCGCAGGTGAGGGAGGACTCACTCAAACCACGAGAACAGGTATCTCAACGTGTTCATTGCAGATTAGTGGCGAAGGATGCATATCGTGTTGTTGCCCAGCAGAGGGCCAGATAAGCGAGCCAATGGTAAAAAATCACTATCTGGTGATGGTGAGGAAGTCGCGTCCAGAGTCGGAGGCAGTGACGGTTCATCTTCACCACTTGGCCCAGCGCAAAACATCCATATGCTACCATAAAGACTACAGTATCAAAATAGAGCTCTCAATGAATACGATAAATGGAAGTAAATGTAGCGATTATTATGAGATCTCTGTAGAGCAGACTTGATTGCACACGACTGGTGGAATTCGCCACCCAGGAAGTGAACGCTTTTCGTCCAGCGCACGTTAAATGAAACATTTTCGATGCAGAGTAGTGAGAATTACCAGGTATCAAGATTGGTACGCGACTGTGAGGATGACAGCCTTCCGCTGTTCGGAGACAAATACCGTTGGAAATGGAAAGCTACTAGCGCCGAAGTTCATGTGTCCACTGACAGATTACATGAAGTATGCGCGCTATTTTGATCCCGATGAGAAAAAGCCTTGAGCAGAACACATCTTGACTAGATCATGCCCCAGCCCGACCATGTGACCCAGTCGTAAGACACACGCATCATCCGCCCCGTATTATACTAGTATGCAGAAGTAGACCAACGGTCGTAGTCGCCACACATTTTTGGCTAGAAATACCATTTGAGACATCGCGACCATGGGTGAACTTTCGGAAGGAACTGAAGGGGCGACTCAGCAGCCTGGAAATCGTGTCGCATGCGGAAACAAATTCCGACAGTGAACATCGCTCATGTCGGTCACGGCCGAGTCTGGTGACACTGTGGCGTTGATGTAAGCCAGTGAGTACGACGGACGTGTCTTACTATATTCCTGCCTCGCCCATGTTGAGCCGGAACAGTATGCCGAATGTTGGTTGCAGGTACACGTGCTTGGCTGGAATTCGCCATGGGTACGGAATTGCCATGATGCGGACGCTACTTGCGAGTGTCGACTAGTACGAGAATGCCTCCTCGAAAAGGTCAATGCTTCGTACACCCACCCTGCGTCTGACAGCTGCCCTAACGCCGTCACTGAAGCCCATTGGCCCGCACACTGAGACCGCCATGGCACCGATCTGTACAAGCACCTCTTCATCTAGTACACCTTGCACATCGCACCGCTGCAGTCTTACGTCGAGGTACGCGGGCACACAACGGCTTTCAAGTTCGCATGAGCCCATTCTGGACGCATAGACCCGTATGCTCACGACTTCGCCAAAATGCTGTAATGACGCGATTTCGTCAAGCCAAAGCCGCACCCACTCCACGGAATCAAGGTTGGCTATGCACCAAACGAGTACAATCTTTCTTGCGGCGGCTGTATTGCTGTTGTGTGCGTTGAGCAGATGTCGCACAAAAGACAACTGGTGTGTAATTCCTACCCCTCCTGCGAAAAGCACGACAGTGCCGTATGAGTCAAGCGAGTGTTGGCCACCATACGGTCCCTCTATAGCTCCCCAGAAGTGCACCTGAGTGTTCTCGTATTTCGCTGCCAATTTATGAAGAGCACAAGTCATCCCTCGGCGCGAACGGATGATGCACGAGACGGTGCTAGGTCCATCCTGGGATTCAGGGTCGTCGATGGTGAAGGACAGCTTTTCCCCCAGGATCTTCGCGTTCCCACATTGCTGGGACCAAGCCACAGAGAACGGGTGTGACCCCACCAGTGCTACTCTTGGCATGTAGATCTGAACGTGTGATCCGGGATTCGCGTCCCACGAGTGGGGTAGGGTGAAAGTGACACGCGTCGCCTCTCCGGGTAATGTTTCCAGCTTGACAGAAGTCCATGTTTTCCTCTTCCATGAGAAGTTGAGATATAATATCCTAAGGAAGCGAGCTAGGGGCTCTAGTGACAATTGAATGACAACCAAATACATCCAAGGCAGTTGGGGTAGGGCATGTTTCGCCAGATGAAAGTAGACGCCAGATATCGCTATTGCAATGCCGATGCGGTGCAGTGAGAGGAATGTTTCGTAGAATGAGCGTCTGAGGGGGCCAATGGAATGTATCATGAGAAATACGAAGGCGACGAAAGCTGCAAGGCCGCTTCGATACGACAGTGAATGCTGTAGAAGCCGGCCCACACTGTGCCAGCCGCTTTGCCCATTATAGGTCACCTGGTACGTGCTGTATAGGAACGCGGAAACATGGGCTATAGCCTCCACTACGACAAGTCTGGCCGTCCATCGATGGAAAAGGTTGAAGGTATCGTAGCTGACCTGGAGCAAGTTGATTAGAGGGTTGTTCCGGAGAGCAAAGAGTATCGTGAAGACGAGGTTGAAGGTGGCTAGAGTCCCGCAGCGGCCTCGAAACTCGGCTATCATCTCGGAACGTGAGCGTACAGATATTACCACGCAATACGCTGTATTGCTCAGAATATAGAGAGCGATCACAACCACATGAGCGCGAGTGGGTAGTGAGACCGAAGTTACACCAGCAGTAGAGGCTCCCGTTGGTTGCCGGTATTTGGTCAATCTGGCTGGCGCATACAGAAAGTGCTGCTTGAGGGCTCCCCAGAAGGCGTAGCGATCCCGGGCCCAGAATTCTTGTCCTCTGCATGAAGCAATGGTTGAAACTCGTCGTCGATCGTTCCTGGCGGCGACGATGATACGAAGGCAGAAGGAAAGTATCGTCGGTATCAGCGCCGTCGCGATAAGGATATGGACGAACATGTCGTTGGCAGATTGATTAACACCAGCGAGTCCGTGACTGAACTTGAACGGATCTGAGCTTAGGTTGGTCTCGCCATTGTGAATGTCGTCGAGGGTCGGTGCATCCGATGGTAACGTTGAAATCGGGATTTTGGCGGCGTCCATTTGTCAACGAATGTCGGATGTGGCGTCTTTCGCTCGAGATTGGCTATGAAGTGTGATCGGAGAGAATTCCAAGGTGCGATGGAATACTTTATAGCATCTGTTGAATCTGGTGGACTTCCGGTGAACGTATAAGCTTGGTGCTGGGCGTAGCCTGACTCTGAGTTGCTGTCTGCGATGCAGAGTCCGCTGATTTCAGACCTCGCCATCGGAGCCTGCATTGGCCGGTCCGTGTATTGCCAAGTAAGAAAGCCGCGGGGCCTGGTAAGTGCAAACAGCCAAAGATTGAGGTCCCGTAGCCGTCTCCTACAAAGTCAGCACGTCTGCACTACCTTGTCTGCAGCCATTTTGGCAGCTAAGAGTATTAGTGTTGGTAACGTAGCAAGACCCTGGGGTACTACCATTGGCAGAGCCGCGATCTCAAGGTAGATTGGGGAATGCTAGGTGGATCGATACCTACAAACGTGAGCAAGTCGCCGTCTCGTGGTTGCCACAGATTGTGGCTCGAGCTGCTTACTTTACAACCGCAGGGCTGCAATTGTGCGCGAAGGCTTTTGGGTCGGTCTGGCCGTAGATAGTACGCAACAATGTGGGTCATCGTGACTACTTAAAGTCATTTTGTTGGCCTTCGCGTAAAGTCGGAGGAGAAGGATGGCAACAGGTGTAGTACAAGGACTCGAGGATAGGAAATTAGCGCTGACACGAGATCCATCGGGCTAAGCCCTACCGTGACCCGACTTTTACATCTAGCCTCTTCAAGTACGTGTCAATATCTCACTCAAGGTCGCCGGTGAGGATATTATCCTTCTTACCGCATGTTCAAAAGTGATGAGGACAGTTAGAGAGTTCCTGGTTGTAACGTGTGCGCGGTAGTGGCGAGTCAAGTGTGGTGAATTGCGCTATCAGAAACCTCATCAATGAACTTGGCAACAGCGAGATGGTTTGTCGTATATTCCGCGTTATGGCAACGACCCGTAGATATGGTAGAGGTCGTTGGGCGTGTCATGAGCTCCTTCTGTACCAGGACAGCTAATCATGACGAGCAGCGTTTCATCGACCGTTTGCCGAGCTTTGCCGAGCGTGCTGTTCTTTGGTCTCGGACATCAAGAGCCGACAGAGGTGGAAGCCAGTTGCGCATGAGGTTTCTCTGATTAGTCCTAAATGAGGTGCGTCACGCAGCGGGATTCCAAACAACCTCTTCGAAATGAGGCTGACGTGGACGTGGCTAAGGGGGTGTCAACAAAAGACACAGGGTGTGATCTTGTAGCTCGGGTGCGACTCAGCCCGCTGTTCGAGACGAGAAGAGGCTTCAAGTTTGGCTCCTGGGCAAATGCACTGGCATTCCATGCTGTGCTCCATTTGGTACCGCCAGATCCGCCGCTGGGTAGCACAAGATCCGTAAATTCCACACTGGAAGATGGTATTTCATTAGCATAGCTCACGCAGAACCTGTGTGGATTGTGGCTGTCAGAGTATTCTCAAAGTCTTGTCATCTGGATAATGTAGGGATGAGAAGGTTGAGAGACTGTCGAGGGATTTTCGAGGAAAGAGGTGGTGGCTGGTGGATCAAGGTTTTGTTGATGGCTTGGCGGCCTAGCGTCTGACGTCACCACGCGACGCGACGCGATTGCCTCTTCGCGAAGGCTTTCGCGGAGGCGGGAGAGCTAAACATGCTACGTGCAACAGCCGGAAGGACATCAAATGACAAGATCATCTTACATATTAAAATCATGCCGAATACTTATACAGCAGAACACACTTTTACAAAACGCCAAATACCCAATGCACCAAGCCCAGGTCTCTAACTCCGACAAAAGCACATCTGACATATATACATCCCAATACTATTCACATCCGCCTCTCATGTTTCCTCTTTTCACTCCTAGTCTTGCATTCAACTGCTCCCCAAAATCCTCTCATAAGCCTCCTCCACCTCCCTCGCAACCTCCAACAGCGTAACGATGACAATCTGATGCGTGACGTTCGGCAAGCGATCCCGATGCAACCCAATCCACTCCAACGGCGGCGTCGCTTCACCCATATCCCGCAACTGTGGTGTCTCGATTAACGGCGGCTCGAGCGGCGTATACTCGTAGCGTGACTGTGGCACATTCACCACCGCTGTGATCTTCTCTTGGCCGTCTGGTGACACGG